CGATCAGTTTAATTAATCGTGTCAAATATTTAAATACTAAATAGAATACCCATGAATTAATTGTGTCACTTTCGAGTTGACCCATATAATCCCTAAATTAAAATTTTTTTTTGGGGGTGTTAAAAAAATTTAGATTTTATTAGACATCTATATAATGAGGGCCAATAGAATTTGAATTCCCAACTTATAAAATTGTTTGAACTTCAACATTGTTTCAAAATTATTAATTCAACAAATAATATTGACCTTTAAAATTTTTTATTTTTGCGTCCTTCAATGATGCCAACTGATCCTAATTTTTTTATCACCTAAAATCTCTTCCACTTTTTTTTAATATTTTAATAGAGTAATACTATTGAGATCTAATTTATTGACATAATTTGTTGACCTAATTCACTGCGACATTTGGATTCATTATAAATCTTATTAAATATTGAAACTTGATGTTGATACAATGATTTCTATAAAATTATATCATTATGTCAGTAAATTAGTTTAAATTTTCAGATCTAAATAATATTACTCGTCTTAATAATATAATCATATCCCCTATTTTTAAATCAAAATCCCTAAAACCTAGCAACAAAACCCTCTCTTTTTTATTTCGGTACGTATCACCAGGCGCAGCAACAAGGTTGACTCCCCCCTCCTCGGTCTCTCCATCCCACAACACCCAGCAAAGCAAAATCTCTTTTTCTGCCTTTTGCCTTTCTTTTTTTTTTTTTCTTTCATTCACTCCTCACTCACAGGCCACCCATCTCAAAGTTTGGTAAAGTTAAACGGTATGCTATTCTTTTGTCTTACATGGAATTGTTTTGTATTTTGATCATTTATTTTGATCCTTTTGTCTTACAACGTGTTGTTCTTCGGTGATATTTCATTCAATTAATTAACGGATTTGATTGTCCATTAAATTTCAGTATGTGTAGTATACTTTTAATCTATCTTATTTGGTGAATAAGAATTCAAATTTTCAAGAATTAGTAAGAACACCGCTTTGCTCGAATTGGTCATCAAATTCAACCTTTATCGTTAAATCTTGTGGATTAATTACGATCTTAGGAATTGTGTTTTGATTTTTCATGCAACATCTCTTGACCCCGCTAAAATTTTGAAAAATTAGTGGGTTTAATTGAAATTTTAAAATAATTTAAGATTTGCCCCCACTAAAAAAATTAGGAAACAATTAGGGATAGTTTTACTTTTTCATTGAAGATGATAATTAGTCGTCACTCACTGTATATTTGTGATTCGGTATGTGACAAGTTTTAATGATTATTGTTCACAATAAATTTTATATGAAAGATCTCAATTTTTTTAAAAATTTGTTATGATTACTATGAATTTCATTTGAAATTAATTTTTAAAATTTAAAATTTAAAATTTGCTTGTGATGTATTAAGATTGTTTTGATTGATTACTTGAAAATTAAGTTTGTCTATTTTGGGATGAAATGATTTTTTTTTTCAAATTTTTTGGAATAATTTTTTTTCTAATTAAGTGGATTCTTGTATTAGGAATTAGCTATTATGGATTACATTTTGGATTAAATTATTTCAATTAACTGGACGTTAGTAATTTTCTTTAATATAAAAATATCCTGCAAAAAAAATTTACTTGGAATAGCATTGAGTGAAAGAAGTTGGATATATATTATCACTCAACGAATTGGCCTTGACGGTAAATATTTATATCTAATATAAAGATAATTCATTTTTTGTTGGTGAATTAATTCATTTTGTCATGTTTGATACTATGCTATAGGGATTTGAGTATGGATAGAAGTTGGATGCAGGAAAATCGTAGATTTTCTTATGCTTACAAAAATGGAGTTAAATCATTTATTGAGTATGCACGTGATCATATGGGTTAGGCTAATAATATTCGATGTCTGTGTCGCAAATGCATGAACGTGTATTTTAGAGGTGTAAAAGAGGTTGAAGATCATCTATTTGAAAATGGGATATTGCAAAGTTACACCCGGTGGGTACATCATGGGGAAGCTTTTGATTATAGCATGTATGTGGGTGTTGATGACGATGATAACAATGATGACGATGGTATTGATGATGACAGAACTATAGAGCTGGAAGAAGATGTTGATGAAATACAAGAAATTCTAGAAGATGTTCACAGGGAAATTTTTATGGATACTTGTTCAGGTCAGACATTTAACAACCATAGCGTTGATAATGTAACTAAAGGGGAAGCTGAAAATTTTGATAGATTATTGAAGGAAGCACAATTGGAACTTTATCCAAGCTGCAAGAAGTTTTCAAAATTGTCTTTTCTCGTGAAATTGCTTCATCTCAAGGTAATCAATCATTGGAGTAACAAATCACTGAGCATGATGCTTGAGTTATTGAAAGAGTTTTTGCCAAATGGTGAGACACTTCCAAAGTCACATTATGAGGCTAAAACAATTTTACGAGACTTGGGACTTGGATATGTGTCAATTCATGCTTGTCAATATGATTGTGCACTATTTTGGAAGGAGCATAAAGATAGAAAAGATTGTCCCGTATGTGGTGCATCTAGATGGAAAGTTGACGACGACAAGGAAAACGAATTTCGCACAAGGTTTTGCGTTACTTTCCACTGAAACCGAGGCTACAAAGATTGTTTGTGTCGAGAAAAGTTGCTATAGACATGAGATGACATAAAGAAAAACGTGTTGACGATGAAGATGAATTAAGGCACCCCGTTGACTCTAAACCCTAGAAGGAATTTGACAAGGAGCACGAGTGGTTTGCACAAGATCCTCGCAATGTAAGACTTGGATTAGCAACTGATGGTTTCAATCCGTTCGGTAACATGAGTAACTCATACAACATGTGGCCAATAGTTCTTATGCCGTATAACTTGCCTCCTTGGAAATTTATGAAAGAGCAATATTTCATGATGTCTTTACTTATTCCTGGACCTCAAGCACCTGGTAATGACATTGATATATATATATATATATCAATGTCCTACTTGCAACGAGGAGAAATCTTCACAACCATTAAGAAATAAGATTTCTTTTATGGGCCATCAACGATACCTTCCATCCAAACATAGTTGGAGGAAAAGTAACAAATTTGATGGTAAACAAGACCATCGGTTGGCACCTAAGAAATTGTCTGGGGATGATGTGCTTGAATAGTTAAATCACATCAAAGATGTTAACTATGGGAAGCACCCAAATAATAAGAAAAGAAAGCGAACCCCCGAAGAGTTGAATTGGAGAAAAAGAAGCATATTTTGTGAATTGCCGTATTGGAAAACACTTAAGCTCCGACACAATCTCGATGTGATGCACATAGAGAAAAACATATGTGAGGAACCTTGTTCAATATTACTGGAAAAACAAAAGACACTTATAAGGCGAGACAAGATTTGGAGGATATGAATATAAGGAAGGAACTACACCTACAGCGTAGTGGCAATTTTTATGTAATGCCACCTGCATGTTACACATTATCCCATAAAGAAATGCAGGGATTTTGTGAATTCTTGAAATCAGTGAAGTTTCCAGATGGGTATGCATCGAACATCTCGCAGTGTGTGAACGTAAGGGATTTAAAGATATCGGGAATGAAAAGTCATGATTGTCATATTTTTTTACAACAATTACTCCCGATTAGAATACGTGGATACTTGAATAAGGATGTTTGTACTGCGGTGGTTGAGTTGGGCTTCTTCTTCAAAGAGTTGTGCAGTAAGACATTGAAACTAAAAATCCTAGAGAATCTAGAAAAGGACATTGCCTTAATATTGTGCAAGCTTGAAAGGATATTTCCTCCAGCATTTTTTGATGTCATGGTCCACCTAGCGGTTCATTTGCCATATGAGGCCATGCTTGCAGGACCAGTACAATACCGTTGGATGTATCCAATTGAAAGGTGATATATACTTGTTAATGTACGTATAAAGTTTGAATTCCTTTCATTATCTCTTTGTCGTCTAAATTAGTCTTTTGTCAAATGTCCATAGATACTTGGGCACACTTAAGCGATACGTACGCAATAAAGCTCGTCCAGAAGGTTCAATTGTCGAGACTTACATTACTAATGAATGTTTAACATTTTGCTCAATGTATCTTACTGCAATTAAAACAAAATTCAATCGTGAGGAATGCAATTATGACGGAGGCCAGGAGCTAAGAGGTGGAGGGTTGTCTGTATTCTCACAGAAGGTTCGTCCTTTTGGATGTTCATCATATGATAATTTGGCTGAGATGGAGCTTAGAAGGGCTCGATGGTACGTCCTAAACAATTGCGAAGAATTGACCCAATATCTTCAGTAAGTTAATATTTTGTTTCTATTATTGTATGTTTGTTATTGTGCATATAAGTGTACTATGTGCTAAATAAGTGTAATTTTGACATTTAGAGAACATATGGATGAGCTCAAGAGAAAAAATGACAAGGATTTAGACCAGAGACAACAAGAACAATTCCCTCAGTGGTTTGAAAGACGTGTAAGGGCTTTCATACAAGTGTCATAAACATATATATATATATATATATATATATATATATATATATATATATATATTATCGTATATTTATTTACTTGTTTCATTGTATTTTGCCTATAGATGAAAAAATGGCGCAATTTGAAATCTGCAGAAGCTACTGATCAATTGTATGCATTAGCGTGTGGTCCAGATTTACGAGCAACTAGGTATAAAGGTTGCATTGTTAATAGTGTTAGGTACCACACCAATGACTGTGACAACCATCGTAAGAGTCAAAATAACGATTTAACTGTAAAAGGAGAACATGACAATAAGCTAATTGATTTTTATGGAGTCATTACTGATGTTATAGAGTTACAGTACATCAAGGGTAATCGAGTTATTTTGTTTAAATGTGATTGGTTTGATCTTGACAATAAAAGAGCAGGGATTCAAAAGGATACACACTTCACAAGTGTTAATGTCAACCGTAAATGGTACGAAAATGATTCCTTTGTACTAGCGACCCAAGCGCAGCAAGTGTTCTACCTAAAATGACATGAAATTAGGCAAAAATTTGCAAGTAGTACAGAAAGTGCAACATAGGAGTGTGTTTGATGTTCCAAAGGTGGAAGCTATGCCAAGAGATGACGACGAAGGGGTGATCAGTAATGATGAAGCATATCAACAGAATGAGTCCTGCATTATTGATGGGATTGTCCAAGTAGAAGTACATGAATTGGGGCCATTGAATAGAGATGACGTTGATTCAAATCGTATTAATACAAGTGATGTGGATAACGAGGGAGTAGATGACGCAAATAGTGAAGAAAGTGATGGACAAGATGACACACTAGACGATTATTGTACTGATGAAGAAGAGAATATGTGTGCCGATGATGATGGTGATGGGGATGATGATGATGATAATTTTTAACTTCAAAAATATAAGGTAATCATTTAATGTAGTTTCTACAAAATTAAGTGTATAGTTTTCATTTAAATGCCTGCAATAGAAACATGGAGATCACATACATTATATCATGTATACACCATAATATCTCTCAAAGACAAATTGAATTTAAAATTTGTGGATCTAGTTATTTTTGTTTGAGTTGATTCAAATTGATTTTAATTTGGTTTTGGATTTATTCCTCATTCCAATAGTACTTATTAGTTTAAATGAATTTTTTTATTTGAAATTTTGGAACATGAATTTGGGTGTCTTGGTTCTTTTTCTTTGTTTTTATGTTATCTATGCAAAGTAACCTTGCCAATAGTTTATGCATGTTGAAAATATACTAACATCATTTGACTGTTGCAGTTGGAACATCCATGGAGATTGCAGACTGTTTTGGAGAAGATTAGGTGTTTGTTTGGCACCTTGCAGGTGCAAATTAAACACATTTACAGAGAAACTAATGGGATTGCTGATTTTTTAGCATTCTTTGCTGTTCAGATTGAGAGGAATACTGACTTTTAAGTCAGTGTTATTCTTCCATTTGCTGGGAGGTTGCTTTTGCAGAAGGACCAGAGCTTGCTGCATACAACAAGAATGAAGAATGTTGTTAATAGAGATACATTACCTCTTTAATGATCTGTTCCTGGGCAGGCAAATTTTGCTGTAAGCAGGTTTTGCTATGCTACAACATCTGATGTGCTGCAGTTCTGCTATATTGCTGAGATGGGTTTGATGATAGTTGTTGGGGTGCTGATGTCTGGTTGTTGTTGTGAATTGGAGATGTTTGCTGCCAGGTTGCAATGATGGTATTTTGTTCATTTTGAAGGCTTCAAAACTTGTAAATGGAATTTTTGTTTGGATTGTAAATTTCTTGAAATTCTTTGCTTCTTGTAATTTTTGATTCATTCTATAAAACCAGAGGGGCTTGCCTGTTCTTTGCACTAAGATCAGCAGGTTGGTTTGGAATTGGTCTATGCTTCTATGTTGGTGATGACTGGTTTGTGCAAGTTGCTGGGATAGAAGGAGTTGAATTCTGGGAGAAAGTGTCTGCTGTGAAGGAGTTAGGTTACTGTTGCTGTGTTAAGCCTCTTATCAGCTGGGAGTATTTTTGGGGGAGTAATGCTGATGAGCTCAGATGATTTTGAAGGATTAAAGCCGTTATTGGATTTTTTTGTTGTTGGTTATTCATTGTAAAAGATTTTCTGTTACTCTTGCAAACAGAAAATCTATTTTTCTTGTAACAGAATTTTTGTTGGCTTGTAACAGTTTTCTGTTTTTGTTTGTAAACAACTTTTTCTGGTTTTTTAATTCTTGTAATTTTTGAGATTCATTCAATAAAATTGCTTGGTTTTTTTTTTTAAAAAAAAATCAGTTCACCAAACAAACAAGAGACTAGCCACTAATGAATTCAACATAAAAATGTTGAAACTGTTTAAGAAGTTAATTGAAACCTCAAAGCGAATAAAATTTGTGTAACAACCGTCTCCATCTCTCTGTTTTATTCTCTTGATCGCATTCATATAATATGAAATTATAGAGTATAGCATGACGATCGAGTTCAACAAAATAGCATACAAACCAGCAAGTATTTTTTTTCCCTGACTTTTAACCATTAAGAAATTATGCGAGAATGATTATCAACAAAACAAATTGTATACTATATATGTATGAATCTTCAGGATTTTGGCAAGTGTGCCTAACTAGAAATATTTTTATATATTTCCATAAATGAAAATACTAGTAGGGATGGCAAGTGTGGAATTGTTTTGACATTTATGTGGACACATGCGTTTACAACTTGGCATTTGCTCATTGTCCTTAGCATTTCGTTGCTTTGGTGAACTATCCTTTATGTTTGACTCCCTAAAAGTGGTTGAATGTTGATGTGTCTAACCGGGTCCTCTTCTAATCAGTAATAGATTATATGGCGTGCGGTAGAGATCCTCTATAGTATTGCAGGGGTGCCGTTCTCTTAAACGGCATTGTTTTGCGTACAGCAGAGAAGCAATACCCGTTTCATCCATATAGCGTGAGGTGTTGCCTAGAAGACTGACTTTTTTGTTTTTGGTTAAGTGATAAATTTCCATTAACTGATGAAAGAATGTGCACAAAAGCTGGTGTAATGGACTCCAACTGGATTGGTTGTTTAAAAGTGCAAGAATTACTCTTATGCAAATGTTTTTTCCCCTCTTACCACATATTATATCTATTTAGCTTGGTTCAGTTTTTATCATCAGGCGAAACAGGGTTCCATTCAAATTTCAAGACAACATAAAAACCATATCTCAAATTGAGAAATGGAGAACTTAACCCACTCAATATGACAAACAAGCTTATTAGCATGCTCTTACTGCCTTTATGTATCCCAAAAATGGCCTAAGACTTAATGGGCATTAATACCTCAGCCTAATTTCAACGTAACTTAAGTAATAATGGGAACGAATTATAAATTTAGGTGTCCTTAGTTTGAATTTTGGTAAATGGAGAACATAAAATACCTCACATAAAAGGAAATCTCTCTAAATTGACTGGTTGGTTGCACTCAGACTCCTGAAGTAGCATCGCACTTTCTGAGAGAAGAGTAGCACCGCTAACCTTTGGTCTCGGGGTAATTGCTTCAAAACTATGGAACTGTGGAGTATAAAAATCAGGAGGTTCCAGAAACAATATATGCTCCTTTGTTTTTTTACCTCTCCTCCTATGCCTGTGCAGTAAACAAAGTATTAAATTTCTTGGTTTTCTCATAGCAATCCAGACTTTCGTCGGAGGAGTGGTCCTTCGTCGAACTCCTTCTCAAACCTCAGATCTTTCACTAGAGGAGTGGTTCTTCGTCAGAGGTAGGGTCCAGCGCCGAAGTGATCTTCGTCAGCGGTAAAAGCCTGCACCGGAGTAATCTTCGTCGGAGGTGCGGAGTGAAGAGGATGGATAAATCGATCAATTTAGTTTAGATTAGGATATTTGTGATTTGGAAAAGTTGGGTGCTGAAAATAAGGAGGTAGAAATGTCAGTCACAATGACGTTTTTTACACATTATTTTTTTTTAACGTCTGCTACCCACCATTTGAAAATTCATTTTAAAAAACTTCATTAAAAATAATGTCTTTAAACACGTCATTTTAAATGGCGTTTTCAATAAAAAAAAATTAGTTTAAAATTATCATTTCAAATGACATTTTAATCTATGAAGACGTCATTTGGAATGACATTTTTTAAAAAAGATTGGATTTGAGAAATAAGTTTAAAATTGATTGAGTTTAGGAATAAAGTTTTTGGAGTGACTAGATTTGGGGAAAAGCTCGAAAAACTTTGCTAAATAATCAAGAGAAATGTTATTTGGACTTTATTTTAGGACCTTATTTAGGGACCTAATGATGTACAATTATTGAATTAGTTGTGAGTTCCATTTAACATTTGAACTCACAACTAATTCAATAGTTACATTAAAATCATATTATTAAATTCTCAAATAAAGTTTCTAAATAATATCCTTGTAGCACGACCCAATAATCAAACTGCAAATAAAGTGGCATAGGTAAAGCCACTAGCTCCAAATCCCCATTGTGTTAGGTCGCCAAACACAACAGATAATGTCTCACAGGTGGACGGGTTTCGGGTTTGGATCATATCTATCTAACCGGCCAAAACCAACCACTTTGACAAATTGGAGGATGAAAATATCCTTAGTAAAGGTGGTCATTCCAAACTAGTGTGTCTAAAAGTACTTGTCAATGCTACTTTCTTGTGGGCGTTTCAATCGTAGTTAAACAGCTTTTGACATGTCTCGCCTCCTATAAAAATCATTTCCATTCTCGATTTGCTTCAAAGAATAACACTGACAGAGAGAGAGAAAGAAAGAGATGGCCAGACTCTCTTTGATTGTAATGCTAATCTCCCTGGTGATTACCATGGCATCGGCTCAAAGCCAAGAAGATGGGTCTAATCAAGTAGGCTGGGCAAAGAGAGTTGATACAGGTAAAGAGGTAGTAACAAACCTTCACTTCTATTTCCATGACACAGTCAGTGGAAAGAACCCAAGTGCAGTGCGGGTGGCTCAAGCTAACGAGACTACCAATTCACTCACTCTCTTTGGTGCTCTTCTGATGGCTGATGATCCCTTGACAGAGGGACCTGACCCGAGTTCGAAGCTCGTCGGCCGAGCCCGGGGACTGTACGGCTCTGCTGCACAGACAGAGCTGGGCCTGATTATGGTCATGAGCTATTGTTTCACAGAAGGTATTTACAACGGCAGCTCTTTCAGCATTCTGGGCCTAAATCCGGCGATCAATCCGGTCCGCGAGATGTCAATCGTCGGTGGTACCGGTCTTTTCCGATTGGCAAGGGGTTATGCCATTGCGCAAACCTACTGGCTCGACCCTACCACGGGTGATGCCATAGTGGGTTACAATGTCACAGTTGCTACTTATATTTGAATAAAAATGATAGTTTTGCATTTTTTATATTGTTTACTCTTTTATTTAATTTCTTCTTGTGTTAGGCAACACTGTTTCCTTTTGTTGGCAGCATTATTATTAGTTTTTGTAGGGGTTTTAATTTTTTTTTTGACTGTGTGTCCATGTGTTTGCTTATATATTGTCAGTGGTCAGCTAATTCACCACTGATTGGCTGTTGCTGATATTAAGAGTACTTTTATTGTTTTTTAATAAATCATGGGTATGGACAAGGTTGCACCACATCCAAGCCCCCACCACCCCACCCATTCCAACAGGCAATGGCAAGAGCCTAGGCTGCTTAGCTATGTTGTATATATGTAACCTTATTTCTATGAGAGTAAAAGAAAACAAATGCTGCAAAAACAAGAAAATGAAGGAAACTTGGTAACCCTTATCTTTTTTGGTTCAATGGTCACACATGTTCAAATAAGTTTACATACTTTACGATTAATCTGTTCTCTGATCTAGTGAAAAATAGACCATTTACGCTGGAATTAGAATATTCTTGAGGGATATTCTAAATCTCTCGTGACTTGGCCTAAGGATTGTAAAATTTTGCAATTAAGATGTCTGAGTTTACAGTTTGTTCTTATTACTAAAATTTTCACACCCTAATATTTTGATTTGGTCGCACCACTAATTATACGGTATGCCCAATCCTTGAAAATGCTTAAATTACAAGGTTTCTATCTTTGTTTCATTTTCCCTTGTCATATATAACAAACTCAAAAGTTCTTGCGGAAGAATACTTTCTGAAAATTACTTCCCAAGCCACATTTTGGCTTTTCATTTCCATCCACAAGTCGGAAAGCACTTGTTTGAATCATTCCTGCTACGGTAATGGTTGAGTCACCTTCTCTGTCAAATCTTCACGCCCTAAAAAAAGGGCAACTTTAGTGAATGGTCATGGACGAAGAATGAAAGATAAAACTTTACTGGCCTCTCTTTGATGGCAGCTGGGTCCTTCTTCATCAACCATCACCCCATGCAGAGACAACCAGGATTGGCTTGTCTAACTTCAAATCATGGGAACAGCTATGGTATCGGAAGTTATAAAATTTTAAAAGTAAATTATAACATTCTAAAAAGTCATGATGGATCAAAAAATATCGTGATAATTTATGAGATGTCGTGATTAATCACAAGTAGATATGATTTTACATTAAAAAGGTATAATTTAATCTTGAAAAGTAATAACTTTTAATACGGTGCCAATTTTTATTTTCTGGGGCAGTGGTTATTTATTCAAATCATATGCCTTGATAGCCATAAAAGGTACTTATCACAGCTCAGAAAGTTCTGCAATTCTTTGATAAAATTCTTTAAAAAAAGAAAAAGGAAAAATAATTAAGTCTTTTGTTGATGAAGATGGTGCAGCAAACAAATCTTGATTTGTTCGAGATGTTTTAGGCTCCTCTGCATTTATATATCTTCATTTTGTCTTTATCAAGTTCGAATCTTGTTGAAAGGAGGCAAAAATAAAATAGCAACATGAAATACGAGAGGTTTTCCGAAAAATGCTACACAACCCATATGGAACCCAAAATTACAACTCAAATTAATATCATTCATTGGATGAGAGTTGGATATGAATTTAAAATACAATTTTTTAGGTTTTATTTAGATTGTGTAGCATTACTCGAGGTTTACCTTGTTATTAACGATACTGATGGGGTCTTGGAAATCACAACCCAAGCCCAACGTGTGAGAAGTTATTGCGTCCGATTTTAGAGTAGGTTCGGTAGATTGGGTTATCTAATCAAAGAGAAAACGAAAAAGATAAGTGGTTCGCTTCAGCCGATTGATCAAGAATACGTCCACTGTAATGAAATCTCTTGCTCCTTGATTTTGTATATTAAAACTCTAATGTTTACAGCTGGGATTCAAGTGTTGGGCCCTTGCAGGGGTTGGTGTTTTGCTTATAGGATGGACACAGTTATGTTTTGCTTATAGGATGGACACGGTAGATAAAATGTTCTCTGGGGGATCCCCTTTTTGTAGGGTACTGTTATATATATAGGTCGTCTCTCTTTGTAATTTCTGGCGGTTCCTTATACCTTTTACCTATCCTATGGGGACCTCCCATCCCTATCCTGAAAAACCTTTTTCAGCCGACGCCACTACGCCCACGATCTCTGGGGCGTTATGCTCCACCATTTTTTGCGTGCTTGAGGATATAGCTATTGTTGGTTTCAGAGATGGTCTCCTTGTCCTCTAGACGTGTGGCATGGCGGGGTGGCTTTGAGGCAAATATCTGATTCCTTCTCTTCGGATTGCCCTTTAGCTGACACCTAATTGGGCCAGGTTTGAACCACTGTCCCTCGAGTGCCCGTCGGGGCTTGTCCTTTCAACTCTTTGTCTTGAGTTAATCGGAGACACTCCAAGTTGGGCAAATGGACTTTCTTCCAGTTCCTCATGACTTTTTAATCTTCGAACTTGTTGGTGGCCCATGCCCAAAATTTTACCCTTATCAGATACCAACATACTTTTCCAACACTTACCATGATGCTAACCTGGCCCCAACTCATTATGTATTTTGTAACAGTCACAAATACGTTGGTAATATTAAACAAATTTGTGGATTCGCTATTTAATTAAAAGATTTGAATTTTCACTTTAGTTGATTCGTGTGGCCATTTTAACCACAATTTGTAAATTTGACATTTATTTAATTAAAGGACTTTTGAATTCGACATAAATTGGGTGGTGATTGGATGTTGAATGGATTCGAATTGTGTTTTGCATATGTTATTATGGCTGGTTGAATAGATTGCAGGTGGTCGTTCAGGAGGTGACGCGTTGGTGGTGTTGGCCTCAGGGAATTGGGATGAATTGGTTAATTTTGCATGTGGTATGTGTGTGTGGTGTTTGCAAAAAGGGAGATACTTAGAGAGAGAGAGAGAGAGTTGTGTGTATGACTGAGTCTTGTGAGCAGACAGTGTCTATGTGAGATGCTGGGTTTGATCTATGCCTGTGTTGTGTAAAGAAAGAGAGAGAATCGAAGAGACAAACAGTGTGTGTGATGTTTTCTGTGGAAGTATTTGTTGTGTGGTGTGGAGAGAGAGAATTTATATCTATATTTATACTTACTTTAGAATATTTGTATATTTGAAATTTTTTTTTTCACCTTTTTCCTCTAAAACCACAATTATATCATCCATATTTTTCAGCTTTAACGGTAGACCAACCCTAATTACTACCTCCACTTCCTCCCTGTTCTATCCGTTCCCCCCACCCCCCCTCTCTTTCTATCATATTCACACCCCAAATGCTTCTTATTCTCAGCCGTTACTGTCCCTCTCTCTACCTCTCGTCCCTGCGTTTTCCACAGGAAAGCTAGCAGCTCCCTCTTCAATACATACTTATGTTAGTTAGTCCAACATACATATCTCTCTTCCATTACAAGCTCTTGCTTTTTGTTGCA